TCCTGGAAATGAGGAAGTTGGTTCATTTATCAGCATGGTGACTCTAAATGAGCCACAATTCCAAGTCTTCTGATGCCTTCCTGTCCAATGATTTTTCAGTTACTTGACAGCCAAACACAACTTCTCTGTAATTCTTTTCAGTGCACTTTTTACTTCCTGATTCCTCAAGCTATAGATCAATGGGTTTAACATGGGAATCCCCACCACATAAAACACCGAAGCAAACTTGTCTGTGTTCAGAGAATGGCTTGACTTGGGCAGTAGGTACATAAAAATGATGGTCCCATAAAATATGGTGATGGAGGTCAGGTGGGAAGCACAGGTGGAAAAGGCTTTCTGTCTTCCTTCAGCGGAATGGATCCTCAGGATGGCAAGGAGGATGAAGACATAGGAAACAAAATCACGACCAGTAGAGAGCACAGCGTATTGAACCCAGCGATGACTAACAACATCAGCTCTTTGACCTGAGTGTCAGAACAGGCCAGCGCAACCAAGGGCACGGCATCACAGTGGAAGTGGTTGACCATATTGGAGCCACAAAAAGACAACTGGAATGTCGCCACTGTCTGTACGAGACCCACACTGAACCCATAAACATACGTGCTAGCGATGATTCGTTTACAGAGTTTTTTAGGCATGAGAATGACGTAGAGTAAAGGGCTGCAGATGGCCACATACCTATCATATGCCATGACTGAGAGCAAATACTGCTCACAAACTACAAATGTGATGAAGCAGCACACCTGAAGGGCACATGCATAAAATGTTATGCTTGTAACATCACGTAGGAAATTCACCAAGGTGTTGGGGGTGACAGAGGATGTAAAAGAAAAACCAACAAAAGCCAGATGGCTGAGAAGAAAATACATGGGTGTGTGAAGCTGAGGACTGACTTGTATTAGCACAATCAAACCAAGATTACCCACGACACTAGCTAAATAGATTACCAGGAATACACCAAAGAAAATGGCTTGAAGCTCTGGATTATCTGTGAGTCCCAAGAGGATAAAGTCAGACACTGCTGAATAATTGCCTTTTGCCATGGTACAGATTTTCAGATATTTTTACAATAAAACCCCCCAGAGCACACATTCTGAGTATTCCTGTCTCCCTTGGCAATAATCAAGCAGATATTAGAAGCTGGTTCTGACCCACCATGATCTTATGATGAATGTGTCCAGGGGAGAATCTTCACGTTAGCTCTGGCAATGGAAATAAAAGCGAAAATAAACCAGTGGGACCTAATTAAACTTATAAGCTTTTGCACAGCAAAAAAAACCATAAGCAAAAAGAAAAGACAATATTTGCAAAGAATGTGACTGACAAGGGCTAACTTCCAGAATGTAAAAACAGCTCATACAACAACAATAAAGCAAACAACCCAATCAGAAAATGGGCAGAAGACCTAAACAGACATTTCTGCAATGAAGACATATAGATGGCTAATAGGCCTGTGAAAAGATGCTCAATATCTTTAATTATCAGAGAAATGCAAAACAAAACTATAATAAGGTATCACCTCACATCTGTCAGAATGGCCATCATTACAGTGTCTGCAAATGATAAATGTTGGAGAGACTGTGGACACTGTTGGTGGGAATGTAGATTGGTGCAGCCACTATGGAAAACAGTATGCAGATTTCTTAAAAAACTAAAAATAGACTTACAGTATGATCCAGCGATCCCATCCCTGGGCATATATCCAGA